GAATGGACCTGATCAAGTAACCAAGAAGTCATTTGATACTTCATCTCCCACTGCACATTTCTTCTCATCTTACAACATACTGTGGTGCTTCAGTTGAAATACATGAGTTGGAACAGAGGCTTTTATCCCAGGTCTCCTGGAAAGGGAAATGGTCTTTGAATTTAATAAAAGCACATCATTCCGCGGCCTCTTTGATGCCATGCAGTCCTCCAACTTACTAGGAGCTTAAAGAGACACTTTCTTTGGCATGTACAAAGACCCTTCTGAGTTAACCAGCCTGTTCCAAGTGCCTTCCAGAACCAGCTGCATTGTAGAAGGGTTTCTGTCCATGAACGTCTCTTACAGGAGTCTTTTCTGTTTCCTCAGGCTACAAAGTGTGATAGCAGGATACTCTGAGAACTCAACCAACAGGTGCAGCCTCAGATAGCAACCTGCTATGGTAAAACTCCTGTCCTTGCTACAGAGGAGCCCTCTTCTTCTGCCATCTCAGGTCCCTCAGATTAAGACTACAGCTGAGAAGTTTTTTTCATTTTCCAAATCCCCAAGGCCAGTCACAATGAATCTGCTCTTCGTTGTGTCACCGAACCTCTGTTAGTCCCATTACATGCAGTTTTCATGACCACTACATTTTCCACGCCCCTCCGTTCAGAAAGCATTCAACCCCATTAAAGGATGATAAACTGGAAACAGAGAGAGACGTATGGCATCATGAGAGGGAAGAGAGAGGAACAGGAAGGAAATGCATAGGTGTTAAAATGAATGCTGCATCCAGGGAGTGAAAGGCTGTCCTCCCACTGGTACCGTGATTCTTTGGTACATAAAAGCACCAGAGGCATCTTCCAAACCCCTTTTGTTGCCTTCTCCTACCTGCTTGCATTTCACCAAATGTGGTTGCCATTTTTCCCTTCTGATGCTGTGCCAGAAGACCATCTTATCTTGATTAAAATACTCTATAACACTTTGAAAACAGATAATCTACATCACATGGTTAATACTCTATATGTCCACTTTGGATCCTGAGTTCACTGAAACTGGACTCATGTCTCCCTCTCCATTTACTACAGTGTTAACAACTTGCTGGATCTGTGACAATCCTCAGTCCTCCTGTATTCCCTTTCAGCTACAGACCTGAACCCTCACAGTTTCAATAATTTCTAGTTATGCCTGCTATTAGCTTGAAAAACAGCAGCATGTTACTTTCTCCAGGAACACTGAGCTGCTAGGCTGCTAGACACCTCCAGTCTTTGCTGGTCTGAAAATGACATCTTACCTAGCAAAACACGTGCCCAGATAAAGCAACCAGTGTACTGTGTTGTCACCAATTTGTCTGACCATAATTTTCACATACATTGCTGAATACTCTGTCACCGAAAAAATGAAGTTATTTTAAAAAAGAAGACAAACACTGCTATTGTACAGCCTAGTTCAGAGTCCCATATCTTGAGCTGATTCAGCTTATCTGCCTTTCTATACCTTTGACAAATGCATGTCTTATATAATTTTTTCTCCCCTTCTTCCATATGCCTTACTGCTTTTCCTCCATGTATCTTATCTCCAAATGATGTGCTATTAATCAGCCAAAGACACCCTTCACTGCTAAGTGTTCCTCAACTGATTTTTCATCAGCACAAGTAGTTACTAGTTACAGCATTCCTCCCACATGCTAAAGGCTTGGGGGGGGAGGGAGGAGGGGAAGGATGGCAAGAAGGTTAGAGGCTGCCTCACCACATAAACACTATCTGGGACCTTTATACCAGCGTGCCAGTTTGCTGTAATGATAATGTTGCTGTTTGTTCTCCGCCAAGGTACCTGGTGGGAGGAAAGTGGGACTGCACCCTGTTTTATTTTTTAAGTTATTAACCTTGATGCTCTTCCCTTTTTCTGATTAATCTGGCTGGATGCCCATTCAGTAGTAGCCGAAGATTAATACCTGAAACAATGTGCGTATATACACTGTGCCAGGAAGGCTTGCCCAACAACGCTCATTCTGTCATGTTTTCCCATGCCTTGTATCAGTATCTTATTTTATATGTAAGCCCCCAGAGCCAGAGTAGGGGATAGGAAAATAGAGAGGCATGGAGGGACGGAGAGGGAAGGAGGGAAAAGAGAAGGAGAGAAGAAAGTAGGGAAAAACTACATCCCTTGGGAATCTCAGCTGCTGTGAACTCACCCACTCCTCATCGTGAAATGAGCTGTGTGCGGGCACAGGTGGGTCCCATTCTCTGTTACTGGAGCACAGCCTACAAGCAGGGTCTAAATGAAGACTTTCATTGCTTTCCCTGTTTTCATTGGAGTAAGGCCATCACAAACATTTGCAGGTGGCTTGGCCATAGTCTGACACTAAAATATTTGTGGTTGTGATAAAAATCAGAATATTGCTACAAGATGGTTCTCTATAACCTTTAGGGCTTGATCCTGCTCTTACAGAACTAGCTCAATGAGAGTTTTACCCAGTTGCTTTCTGCTGTTTTTATTGCTCATTAAAAGGCATATTCCCTGGCACAATTCTCCATGGTAAGGACTCATCTACCCTTTGGGGCAGCTTCAGATGTTTTAAAAAAAAGGGAGAACCCAACCCAAAACCACTGTTTTGAGCACCTCAGAATTTGAGCTTGTTAAAAAGCAGAACCATCTCAACTTTGTAAGGCCAAACCAAAACCACCAAACTTTGCAGAACTCAAACATTTTCTGAATCCATCTGGATTTTTCTTCAGTTGCCTAATATTGAAACCATTGACCAGTCTGTATTCCTTGTGAATGAGTCTTGGATATAATTCTTAGCACGTTTAGAAGGATAAGATGAAGATAAATGGAAATGACAAGATATGTTCTTTGAATAAATAAAACAGGCACCACAGGGAAAAGACTGAAGAAAAAGAAGACAAACAACAAGGATGCTCAACAGTTTGGCAAGTAGATGAAGTCCAAAATGCGGCAATTATCTCCTAGGACACACCATGAACAAAAAACAAAACCTCCTAGGAAGATGGAAGAATGGGGAACAGAGTATGCTGGAGGTCACACCATAAGTCTCATTCACACACCAACTCACACAGAGGCTAAAATGCTGACAATTGCCTCCCAATAGAGCAGCTTTAGACTCCGACTTAGGAAACGTTTGTGTGATTCAGTCACAGGGGAGAATTAAGATATGTCATGACAAAGTTTCCCAAACAAGACACTCACCACTGACTAGGAAATAGGCCTTTTTATTCTCTAACCCCTCCAACTTTGGAGATTCTAATCACCATGGCCCCAAACCAAAGCAAACCTAAAACCTGACTGACAGGGTCTTGCAAAACCACATACAGTTCTCTTCTCATTATATGGAAACAATTGTTTGGAAGCCAAGTACAGTCCCATATAAAACACCTCACCACTGAGTATTAAAAGTTGTTTGGGGTTTGGGGTTTTTTTGTTTTTAATTAGGATGATAATTACCACTAGACCTATTAAGTCACAATTTGAACAGGAGCTTAATCATCCTTAACCCAGATAATGGCATTAGCTGTTTTTCTTTCTAAAACTGAAAAAGAAACTGTTTCTTCCTCCCTCCCTCTCTCCCAGCCCCCTGTCTTTGAACAGAATGGAACATACATAAGACAACAACTTTCTTGGGTTCACAGGCAAATGGTACTGCACGTGAAATCTCAGTGAACAGTGTTTTGTCAATATGTAACATATACAAAGGCACATCTATCAAATATGTTTACCTGACCCATACTATCAGATTTCTATATTAAGAATCAAATCCTGAAGTAGTAATAAAAAGGAAAGTAGAGGAGCTTTGCCAGAAGCACAAAACTGGGGCAGTGGATGGAACCCATGTCCTGTGCGTGGCTGGGTAAGCCTTACGGAGCAGTCAATTGCACGGGCCACCCCTGCCATCCTCTCCACTGGGAAACAGAGAGCCTGTGATCTATATCCTGCCGCAGCCATCAGTAGTATTGAAAGAAAACTCAAGAATAACTGGATTTTGAGTTTTCAATGCCAGGGTTTCACTTTTTGGTTTTACGCTGAAGAGACTGCAAGTTGCTCATCAATTATTTAGACAATGACTGGGGACAGAGACTGCTTTTGCACTTACCATATAATGGATGTGACGAAATTACAAATGACAGATAATGAATCTAAACTGCTGCTTCATTCTCAGTCCACTGATTTATCTTTTTATCCACATGTTTTCATGCACAAAGCCCCTCAAATTCTCAGAGTTGTGTGACAAAAAATGGTACCCTCAAACCATCTGGCCAGTTTCTCCATAATTAAAACCAAGTTATTTTGACTTATAAGGACCTCATGTTTTCTGGAAGTAACTTGAGTGTACAAAACACGGATGTTTTTACTCACACCGTTCTCCAAACATGAGCACACAATTGGCATTCAAGCATAAGCATCCATACTGTCAATTTATGGGAATAAATATGGATCCATCATCACAAATTGAGCAACTGTTCAGAGGTCTCTGTGCCAAACTCCATTTATCTCATTGGTCTTTTTATTTTGTCTTCTAGCATCCTCAGTTAAACAGAGTATGTAGGAAACAGCCCAATCCCACTGAGCACCCAGAATTCCCATTGAAGGAAGCAAAAGGATCAGTTTCAGAAATACTCTTTCTTCCCAGAGCAGTTAAAGAAACAACATGTAAGCAGATAAAATGGGTCTTCTTCATGTAATGTAAGCAGATAAAAACAAAAAAATGAGTGGAGAAAGCAGGACTTCCCTGCAAGTACAGCAGTCTGCCCCTTTCAACCAAAGTGCCAGGTCTGGAGTAGATGCAGTAACCTTGCCATTCCCCCACAGTGTGCAACACACGTTGCAGGGGTCCTTGCCGCATGCTGGCAGGACCAAGTGCAAACCCCGTAACCTCAAGAACCATGAAGACAACATCTGGTCCTGCATGCAGCTGAACTTTAAGAACCACGAAGGCAACATTGGGTCCTCCATGCAGCTGCTGGAGCGAGAGAACTGGAGAAACGAGAAAACGGAAATGGACTCACCCAATCTGTCGATTTGTGGAAGGTGCTTGTGTAATGACCGAACTGGACTGTGGAGATGGCATGGCTTGTTGAATCACAACGCTGGTGTCATGGTTTGGCATCCTTGTATTTGTCAGCTGGTGAGATCCAGGTCCTGCCATTGCTCCTCCAACTGTGTTATGCATGGAGATATTCTGTGAAAAGAAGGGAAATGGGAGATGGCGGAGGAAAATGGAAAAGAAATAAATGTCTTATCTTGGTTTTCTGTTCTATAGGAATACAACTAGAAATCTGAAAGTATCGGCAATATGAAAAGTTACTGACTCCTGGTAAATCCCAAGTCAATAGCTCTTGTCGTAACCAACAACAATAAAGAAATGAAAAATAAGTGTTTACTTATACAGAGCAATATAAATGGAAAAATACCTGCAAGTTGACTAATCACTCTTCTGTGATTCTGACTCATGATTTATAATGGAGATATTTAGCACATATTCTCCTAACAGAATACAATATATTTTGTTTGAAAATGACTTTTGTGGTGAGTGCAGGGCACCTTGATTTACTACATGGGTTGTTTACTGTGTACTAGGTCTGCTTAGACTGACAAGCAAATCAAGTTTTATAGTTCCAAAGTAACAAACAGTACATGGTACATCACAAAACAGCCATTTCTATTAGCCTCCATATATTTTGTAGAGCAATAGTATCCCAGAGGCCTAAAATAAAGCACCGTATTTGCACATATATAACCTTTGCTTCAGGTAACTTGGAGCCCTTAAAAAGTTCTCTTAAAAAAAAAAGTTCACAGATAACTCATATGCACAGAGAGAACAAGCCACGAGAGACCAGGATACTACTAAGGAAGGAACCATGGAATAAAACTTCTCTCCTGTTATGCATGCACACACAATATACCCTGCTGCTAAACCGCAGGGTTTGACTTGGCCCGCATTTAAAAACAAACAAAACTCTCAAGCCAGAGATAACCCACAGTGTATACATATGAAAAATATGGTAACCTTAAAAGCATTATTTTTCCTATCAGGCATCAACGTGTGGGTTGTTAGCAGTGAGGAAAAGAAACTTTCCATTGTCACCTCATGCTAGGCTGAGGAAAAGGGAAAAGAACACCTTTACACGCACACTCTGCCACCAAGACTCATGCAAAGCATCTTCCTGACTGCAATACTCAGAATTGAAAACTAAATTTCATTCAGAATTCCAATTTATGAGCCAATTTGCCTAGCAAACACATAAACCCCACAAAATAATGATAAATGAAGCTGGTAAGAAGGGAAATTCAGAGCTCTGATCAAATGTCTGTCTCTCCTGTCCTCCACAACATATTGAATCCCAGACCTAAAAGAAAGATTGCATTTTAAACCAAAACAAGAATAAATGCTTTAGATGACATTCCTCATGGAAAAGGAGCCAATAATTAGAGGACCCACTTTGAAGGCCTTAGCTGTCATCCCCCTATCTCCCAATTCTTATATATTTCAGGTGATTTCCCAGGCTAGTGTGGACACAGGGACCTCTCGGTTTCTTTTACAGGAGTTGTTCCAGTCTTCATAAACATATAAAAAGGCAGAGGTGCTGCCTACAGCTGCATGGTTAGACCACTCACCCAGTATGAAGAAGACCCAGTTCTGAGTTCCTCTTCCAGTAAATAATTTACACAGTACAAATCAGGTTCAGCAGCTCCAGTATTCACTTAGGAGCATGGATTGCAAGAGGAAGCCAGACCAAGGACTTTAACTGTAATTTTTCATAGCCCAGTGGTATGTCGTAACCATCAGGCAATAAGAGAGAATAACCTTAGATACATGGAATCTTTTCCAAAAGAAGTTCTCTCTCATCTATCACATTCCTATTAGAACATCGCTTCTTCAGTAGATTAGTGTTTTCTAATGAAAAACCTGTTCTGTTTAAAAAAAAAAACAACCAAACAAAAAACCCCACAGAATATATATACAGCCAAATCTAGTTGAGGATTCAAAACTGCTCTGACTTTTTTGATCATTACAAGATTTTGGAAAACCAGGTCTAATATCTATCCATCTGCAAGTAAATCTTCTAGTGCTATCACTTCCTAAAGCTTCTCCTTTGTATTAAGTGTGTTTCAATTAAAACCTATCAATATGTGATATTTACTTGTTTCAAAGTTCACCCTCATTTAATTTCTCCTTTACACTGCCTCCACAGTTTCTGAATCCTTCCAAATATTTCTGTATTGCCTGTTTGCTTTCAGTAGTATGTTTATTAGAGCAAATATTAAATTGCAAGACAGGTATAGAGTACTTGTACCTCTGGGTCCATAGGGGAGCAACAAAGAAGAAAAGCATCAGTCACCCACGATGAGTTTACTCCGCAGTGCTGCACAACTGCCCCTTGCCATTGCCAGCACTGATCTTCTGCCTGCACACGCCTGCCTTGCTTCCAAAGAGAGCTGTCTGCAAGAAGCCAGTGCATTGGCATGAAACCGTCCAGGATTCAGAAAGCCTGTCTCTAGATTACAGACTCCAGACCACAGATTTCCAAGAGCTACAGAACACCGATCTGCTAACGTGGGAGGATCTTTAAAGGAAACGTGGCTGGTGCCATGAGTCCACAAGGCCTGGGAAGGGACAGGAGGTAAATCTGCCATGAGCTTTAGACAAGTGGTACTCCAGCACTTGCCCAGATTTTGACTGGATTTTGTTGTACCATGGCAGAGCAGAATTTAAAGATTTAATATCAGATTCCTGTGTTCCTCGATTCAGTATTTCCATTTTCTTCTCCTTCTCTTTCCCTTTTCTCCTATAATTCCAGACCTCTCTAAGATACTAATGGTGTGAATTGTGATGGGTATGAAAAATTTTGTTTGCACATAAGATGCTGTAATTGTTAGCTTACATGCATAAACTTGTAATGCCGTTTCAAAGTTTTAACAATTTCCAGTAAACTGTGTCTTTTCAGAAAGTAGGCTGAGTATGTGATGCATGGAAAGCAAAAACAGAATGAAAACCTGTCAATGCATCCAGATGTCCATTCTTCTCAGTAATGCAAGCACTGTTCTTGGGCAGGAACTATACCTTTATACTACGCTGCCAAGAGAAAGCCTAAGATTTCCTAACAAAACGTCAAACTCAGCATGACTCTCACATTCATAAGAAAAGGATTTGGCAATCTCAGAATCATTTGCATTGGTAAGATGCTTGTGAATTTACAGAGAAGTTCAAGTAAGTTCATACTTAAATGACAATGCTTATGCTTTGAAAGATGGCACGAAGGTAATGCACAAGAGGTCTGACACCAAGCCTATCTGATCTAGTCATATGCATCATGACATTCAGAATGACTCTGTATCACCAGCACAGCAAGACCAGGCTCGTTGCATGTGTGATGCAGACAGCCTTCAGAACTCCCAAAATGGCCTTGCTGTGTTGAGCTTTGCACCTGATTCTGAACTGATCTGGACAGGATATTAATGAGCTGCTTGCAGACTTGACTTTGGGCCCTTATAGAAACAGGACAAATTCAGCGATGTTGGCTGAAACAGAGACCTCCACTTTATAGTTGAATTGTTATTTAAGGAGTTCTGCATGCTCTTCCACCAAGGATCCATGAAGAACATCTCACTTGGACTCCTCTTTTCATTCTCCTCCAGCTCTTAAGCCAGTGGTTAAGATTAATTAATACTAGGTGGGTAGCTCCTAGCACTCCAACTCAGAGAAGTCGACAGGAGCAATGAAGCAGACAGAGCTCTCCTTCTGCTTTTAACACTCCCAAGACCCATCGGTACTCAGAGAGTACGACACACACTCAGTTTTCTCAGAGATCTTCACAACTGTCCTTCAGCATTAGAGGAGGGCATATGAGCTTATTATTATTATCCATTTTAATAAACTGAACCTAAATGTTTATGCACGGAACAGGCCACCCACATGCCAGGAGCTGTAGAGACATGAAAGACATCCCCTGCCCTTAAGATTCACTTAATGGATCTTAATTCAGATCCAGTAAATTAAGAGGAATTTATCTCCTCTAGGACTAAGTTTCATCCTCACCAAAGTTCCCAGTCACTCCCACTGAAGCAGAAACTAGGATTATAACACTATAGCTTTTCTAGAAATTGTCCCCTTGCCCGTGTGCTCATACTGTACTCTCTGGCAGTATTCAACATTCAAATAAATAAAACAAAAACCAAGCAGCCATATCCACAAACTGCTTTTAAATCAACATGCTCATTCTCAACCTTTCCAGCTGCAAGAGGAAAGGGAATAGATTATCATCAGCTTGACTTCTCCCCAGTTACACTGTATTCCCCATTTTAGCTTCAGACTTTCAAGAAAACATTTGAGCATTTTTCTCCCACATGCAACCATTTAACTTTGGATAGGCAACACACTTCTTTTTTCTAAAGGCTCAAAAAACTTCTTGAAGTCATGCTTCCATGTTCTGCTGGAGAGGATTACACATCACTCCACAAGAACACACACCCTGTTGGCAAGCACAGCAGAGAAATGATGGCTCTGCAGACACAGGCGAAATACACCCCATGACTCCCGGCAGTCACCATTTCCACTAAACCCCGGTTCTTCCAGAGAAACACCCGTCCATGTCACACAGCACCACCTGTATCACACGTCTCCGTCTACTGAAGGCAAAGGATGAAGAAGATGGATTCATCCTTTATGATCCATTGTAATATTCTGAGTTTCAAACAGAGTTTGTTTGTGGTTTTAAACTATAAGAGCTAGTTTCCAAACCAAAGCCAGCTTATATTTTCCTACTATTTTTTTTTTAACTGTGAGGTTTAATGAAAATTGCAAATACCAGTTTTACACAAACAGAAGACACGTTCAGGATTGTTCTGAGTGAGCTTTTAGATCAATAGAGCTGTCACCTATAACCAAGTGTACATAAATATATTTCATAGACTATTACATAAATTCTAAAGTCAGAAGGTATTTGCCATGAAAAAATGAGAGAAAAATCCAAGTCATCCAAACAAAGACAAAAGCACTTTTTTTCATTTTTTTTGTTTTCTGCAAAAAATCATTTAGCTGTATTTTCCCAAACAGCAACTTTAAATATTTTTCAAATAATTCAAGAGAAAAGGCATAAATTAAAAAAAAAATAAATAAAGATAGGAATCAAATACACAGCAATATTTTAGACTTTATATAGCCTGGCCTCTCTATTAATG